AGGCCTAGAACGAAAACAACTTTCTACACTCACTACAGGCCATCATTGTATGATACAGGATTTTTCAGGAAGGTGTCTTGCAGCTCATACCTAGCCTAAAGCTACAATGGTCAGAGTCCTCCAATTCACTACAAGCGTAAGAATAAAAAGCCTATGGCTCAGCTGATCGCCTGGTAGAGCTATTAGAATCTACTGTGAAGTTTTAAACTGAACCAGTCAGCAGCAAATAAGCAACTAGCAGGTCAGCCACTAGGAGTGCAGTTCTAAACAGAGTTAAACCACTGGCAGGACAATGACTTCAGTGGATTTAAGAGTGTGTCCGCTTAGGACTGCACTGTAGAGCTTTCCTCCTCCTCCTCCTGTGTGCCTTTCCCAGAGTTCACTGAAACGTAAAGCCACGACCCAAGCCAGTTTTCTTTATATTTAAAATTTCTTTTGCATAGATTAAAATATTGCACAGCTATACTAGCCCATGCAAAATCCAAAAACAAAATGTAATACCTTCTATTAGGATCAAATTGACACAAAACATTGCGCAAACTTTTGAGTTCACCAGAGTTCTTCAGCATGCCGGATGGTACAAAATTTGAAACGCTAAAAAAGTAGAATGCAGATTTCTCAGGCCATGATCGTTTCTGATCTTCCCTGAAAATCTCGTAACATCCAGCCTAATGAAGGTATTTCATAGAGTTTGTTCCTGTTTTTGGAGCCTTAGAGAGAACTACTCTCTAGAAAAATATGCAGCGCCCTATACAGTGTGATTCAGAATGTTGCTTTTTACTTATATTTAGTAAACAAATTATTTTAGTGGAATACCTGAAAAAAGAGACAGACAAGACAGCTACCCCTTACATTGTTTAAATTTAAAGGAAGCAATGAAGGCACTGAAAACTGCAGACACCTCCGTTTCAGCACACCTAAAGAACTGTCCATGATATCCTGTGGACATGGTTGCCCAATCTTCTATTTCAGCAGATGTTCCATGGAGATTACCTTCATTTCGGTGTCATTCTGCATAGCATCATTACTTCCATATCAGATGGAGGATAATGGCCCTTCCACCATGTGAAAGGAGCCACAAATAAGAATTTGGTTTTGATTTGACCTGCACAGCTGACAGATGTGTTCACAACTTTTTATTTTGGTTATGATACCTATTTCTGGTTTTTCCCCGCCCCCCACCCCACCCCCAGTTTACAAATCAGGAAGATGTACACGTGTACCTTCTCATCCGGGATGGACTGGGATGAAAAAACAGCTGGAAAAGCCCCACTCCCTGAAGACGGGAGGGGAGACAGTCTGCCCAGTCAACCCTCTTGCATCCCCTCACTTCAGTAGTGAGATGGATGTTACATTTCAGCTTTGAGAATGGCAACACCCCTTCCCCCATATCGTATGTGTCCTAGGATGCCAGCACAAGAATTGGGCCCACACTTACAATAGCCATATGCCTTCTATGCCAGGGCACTGGCCACCAGTTTTGCCTCAGAGCCATGACACAGGACTACTCCAGTCCTTCAATAAGGGAGGAGGCACTCACTTGAGAGACAAGTCAGCATAGATGGGAGCAAATGATTGGCACTCATTAGACCAGTTAGCAAAGAATTCAACAATCCAGGTAATCCGCTTATCCCGTGCTAGTTCTTCCTGTGAAGAGAGGAATCAAGTTGTCACCATCCAAGTGCTTCAGTGATAGACGTACTACTCGTAAAAACTGGAAATCAACATATCATGATGTACAACCAGTCATATACTAAATATATACATGGGTGCATATACATACAAGCCCTTCCAATCCAAAAACACATCCAAATCAAGACCATCCCAAAAAGATACACGCAGAGCAGTTAGCACTGTCACATCCCAATCTGTGAGCCAGACCATGGTCACACTGTGCTGCTGGACAGTCCTTGTTCCAGGAGCAGACTTTGAGTAAAGCCCCTCAGAGGAGTAGCTCAGGGCAAAGACTTCTTCAGCAGGTGTCTGGCTGTTATGATCAGCCACCAGCCTTTCCTCTGTTTAGATTACCAGTTAAACCTTTTCATTTACTCACTGTATCAGACTGACAAGCCCCCCTCCCCCCCTCAGCAGATCTGTCAGCAATCTCCTCGAGCAGACCAAGGTACAGTCCAATAGCTTAGCAGGCATTCATAGGTGTGTGGAAGATACAATACTCACATCTATGGTTTTATCACTGAAATACTTGATGTATTCGGGACCCAGGTATAAAGGTGGCTTACAAGTCATCAGGAACACTGAAAATGCACACCAAGAAGTATAGTTTAGTACCCTACTGGAATGCAATCAACAATTCACCAAGGCATTCCAAGACATACCGTTCAACTGGCATAAATTCTTCCCAAATGACAGCATTCATGCGAAACGTAAAGATGAGTAAGATACATTTACTTTCACAAATTCACACATATTCCATAATTAAATCATTCAAATAATAAAGAACGTGATGTTTGTTCTATGGTAACCCAGGGCTGATTTGTATAAGATGAAAATACAGAGTAACTCTGATGGGACTTATGAGTCCAGAAGGTCTAAACAGGCAGTGCTAATGTTGAGTCTAATTATTTTGCTCCTGACTTCTGGACCTGCATAAGTGGCGTAATCGCAGCCACCTGCACTGAAGTATCTTACCTATGCAGAGGGTGAGGTAGAGCAGTCCCATCCGGATGTCAAGTCGGAAGAAAAGGATGACATTGGCTACTTTGCTGAACATGAAGATATTTCCCACATGTTGGTCCACAGTAACTTGAAAGACAGAAAGAAAGCGATTATGTACATCACTGATGAGTCAAGGAGCTCTTCCTGCAACTTGGACGGGCCCAAAATGCTTGTGCCTGGACCCAACACCTAACCGTTTGGAGCTGCTTTCTCTACAAGTTCATTCATGCTTTGAGAGCCCATGATTTAAAGAACTGCAGGACCTTTACCACATGCAGTCATAATGGAATTACTGTGGTACAGGGGCAGCCATTCATCCAAGAACCTTTCAGATCTTTTAAGCGCTTTGCGTATCAAATAAACTACTTATCACAATATCACTGTCTCTATTTGCTTTACTCATTTCCCTATATTGGATGACATCTGCAAATAGCTTTCACATCAAGTAAACCATGCCTGAAGGCTCTTTTTCTTATTATTCCAAAAGTGGTCACTCCCAGATTGAAAATCTCTGAAGTTCCAGGAGAAGCATTTACTACAAAAAACTGTAAGGCAAATATGCATAACTCACTGGATCTGCGGTTCTTCATCATCACAATCGCACTGAGAAACATAAGGATCTCCACTTCTCGCTGGAGCCAAAGGGGGAAGAGGAGAAACAGTAGGTGAGCCACCCAGCAAGGGTATAACAGATCCAAATCCTCTTAAGACAGATGTCACACATCCCTCTATGTCAATACATGCTACTTAGTTATTTGATTTCTAGCCCTCCCTCCCCTGCACTGCAAGGCTCAGGGCGGGTTACAACCAGTGCTCCCTCTAAGCTGTGGAGTCGTGTGAACAAAAATTTTACTTTGTGAGCAACTGGCATTAAAGTTGTGAGTGTTAGTTTGCTCTGGAGCCAGCCTTCCTGAGCAAAGACAAAAATGTGTGAGCTGGAGGCTAAATAACTGTGAGCTAGCTCACACTAACTCAGCTTAGAGGGAACACTGGTTACAACAGTATGGTAAAATACAATGCATTAAATAAACATAATATCAGCATTTGTTAAAATCCAAATATTACACAATTTATGGTGATTATTATTATTATTTAATTATAATAATTAAACATATGAATCGCCCACCCTGGGAGATTTACAACATCATAAACATTTAAAATACAAATAATACATAGTTAAGATAGTTAAGAAGCTGTGGTGGCTCAAGTGGTTAAAATGCTGAACTGCAGGCTGTGGAAGGTCAGTAGTTTAGCAGTTCGAGACCCAGGGTGCCGCGTGACGGCGTGAGCTCCTGTCTCTAGTTCCAGCTCCTGCCAACCTAGCAGTTCGAAAGCAAGAAATTGCAAGTAGATAAATAGGGACCACTTCGGTGGGAAGGTCACAGCGTTCCGTGCGCCTTGGTGTTTAGTCATGCCGGCCACATGACCACGGAAACGTCTTCGGACAGCGCTGGCTCTTCAGCTTTGAAATGGAGATGAGCACTGCAACCCTAGAGTCGGACTCGACTGGCTCTCAAGTAAGGGAACCTTTACCTTTTTAAGATGACTAAAAATAAAACAAGAGATTGAAACCAATCGAGACGGCAATAAATTAATCCTTCTTTGTCAGCCACACCGCTGTCCTGCATGACAAGAGAGCGAGGGTGCCCGTCTTAACCGCCCATTGCTGCCCTCAGCCTGGCGGAGCACCTCTGCCTCCCAGGCCCAGTGGGATGGCATCGGGTCCTGCCACAGGGCCCTGATGCCGTTTGGGAGAGAGTTCTGCCAGGCTGGGGCCAGGGCTGAGAAGGCCCCGGGGCCTAGCTGAGGACAGCCGGATCACCAGCAAGTTATCAGCTGATCTCAGCATTCTTCTGGGGACATATTGGAGGAGGCGGTCCTCCTGAAGGTACGTGGGTCCCTGACCGCTCAAGCCCTTAAGAGTCAACACTAACACCTTAAACCTGACTTGGTACTCCACCAGTAACCAGTGCAGCTGGTGTAGCACAGGTTGTCCATGCACTGCCTGTGGCATTCCTTCCAGGACTTATGCTGCCGCCTTCTGGACTCCTTGGAGCCTCCAGGTCAGTCTCAAGGGCAATTCAGTGCACAGTGAGTTACAATAGTCCAGCCTGGAGGTGACCATTACATGGATGACTGTGGCTAGGTCGGGGTGCGACAGGAAAGGGGCCAGCAGCCATGTTCAGCGTAGATGGTAAAACGCCAATCTAGCAGTATGTGTGACCTGCACCTCCACAGACAAGGAGGCCTCCAGAGTCACACCCAGACTCCTGATGGAGCGCCCTGGTTTCAGCGACACCCCACCGAGAGCCGGTAGCCTGAACCTCCATCCCGAAGCCCCCCTCCCCAGCCACAGAACCTCCATCTTCCCCAGACTGTTCCTTAGCCATCCCACCACGGCCTCCAAGCTCTCAGCTGAGTGAGTGTGAGCCAGCTCACCGTTTCTTAGCCTCCGGCTCACACATTTTTGCCTTAGCTCCAGGAAAGGTGGCTCCAGAGCAAACTGATCTTACGCAGCAGCCGAATGGCTCGCTCGCCGCTTTAATGCCCCAGTGGCTCACAGAAGTAGGATTTCTGCTCACAGGACTCCACAGCTTAGAGGGAACATTGGAGACAAGGGTAGGGAACCGGTTGCCCGACCGGCTGAAGGTGGGAGAAAGCTGACCTGGCCACACTTGTGACTTGGGCCTCCGCTCACCGTGAGGTGTCCAAGAGGACACCCAGACTCTTCACACGAGTGGCGGCGCTGGTGATACCAAGGCCCCGTCTGGAGTGGGGCGTTAGATCCACATTCCCCTCCCCGGCTTAGGCGCAGGACCTCCGCCTGCCTCCAGATCCCAGGGCGGCGCGGCCCGTGTTCTCACGCACGCATGGCGTGAGAGGAAGGGGAGAGAGAGAGGGAGGGGGAGAGAAAGAGGGAGGGAGAGGGGAAGAGGGAGGGAGAGAGGGAGCTGTCCTTCCCTGATTTCGTGCCTGCGCCTTTCAAAGTCCTCTGACCCAGCCGCCCAAGGCGGCTTCCAAAGGAGAGCCTGGCGCCCGGGACATGGGCTTCTCCGCGCTTTCCTTCTACTCAGTGCTGGATTTACGCACAAGCTAAATAAGCTACAGCTTAGGGCCTCACAATCTGCTGGGGCCTCAAATAAAAACACAATCTAAAAAAATGATTTCAAATATTAAAGGGCGTATCTATTTTAAATTTTTCTGAGACCAGCTGATGTAATTTAAAACAGTAGGGGGCCTCGGGGTTTTGTAGAGCTTAGGGCCTCGGCAAGTCTCAATCCGGCCCTGCCTGGGACTCCTCGCGCGGCGCGGTCCGCCTGGAGCCTCCTCGCTCGCGGGGAAAAGGCGGGCTGGGCGCGGCGCCCCCGGGCCCGGGGGGAGGCCCGGCCCGGCCCCGGGGTCTCACCCAGTCGAAGTCGCAGGGGTTCCCGTCCTCGCGCTGGCTGGGCAGGCCCTGGCACAGCGGCGGCACCTTCCGCACGAGCAGGAAGGCGGCCGCGAGGAGGACGGAGAGCGGGTAGTACGGCTGGGCCAGCCAGCGGCAGATCCCCGGCACGGAGTAGAGCAGCGCCAGCAGGGGCGCCACCACCGCCATCTTCGCCTCGCCTCGCCCGGATCCCCGCGTGGCTTCCCCGGGGCCTGGCTCCGGCGCGGGCCGTCGTCGCTCGCTTTGATCTCATTGGCCAGCGATGGCACCCGTCAAAGAAAAGGCGGGGCTAACGGAGCACGGCGCGTCTTTACGGGCCCGTCTTGTCCCCCTCCATTGGCTGCCCAGAACACAAACAAGGACGCGCGAGATTTAGCCCTGCGGCGTCACTGGAAATGCGCCATGGAGCGTCTCGGCAGTCGACCAATCAGAGGAGGAGTAGGTTTCTAGGCTCGCCGGCCAATGACATGGAGAGGCGGGCCCGAGCGCCGTCCAATGAAGGCAAGGGAAGCGGAAGGGAGCGTCAGGGTGCGGAGCCAATGGGAGAGTGCTGCGCGGAGCACGCCGGGATGATGGAGAATTTCTCCGCTCTCTTCGGTGGGGCGGAGCCCCCTCAGTCCGCCGCAGCCACGGCGCTGGGCTTCGGGCCGGGGAAGGCCGGCGGGCCGGGGAGCGGAGCTGCCCCTGGGCCTGCGGGGGCGGCGGGGGCCGCCGGGGAAGAAGCGGCCCGCAAGGCGGCGGCGGCCGTCGGCCCTTTTTACCTCATGCGCGAGTTGCCAGGTAGTGGCCGGTGGGGGGGGG